ATTTTAGGGTGGCCATCACAGAGTGCAGCCCAGTTGTCCTCTGTCTTCTATTGATACGAAACCGGATGCCTCTATATCCTCTCTTTTTCTCTTGAAGAAGGCATCAGGTTTCATATCAATAAAGGACAGATGGCAGAGTAGCAGAAAACTGGAATGTCCTCTATGATGGCCACCCTATCCTATTTTAATGCACATTAGCGAAAGCACACAATTTTTTTGTGATGCTGTAATATGCATTAAAATAGGCTAATGAACATTAAAGTACGTACGTATGTAGATGCACCCAGTATTGTCCACGTTATATCAAAGTCAGGATTTGAGTTAGATCAACACTGAATAGTTTTAAAAATCTTACTCTGTTTTTTTCATGTAAAAATGATTTTTGTCCTTGGTGTCACCACAGTACATCTCACTGCTGAATAACTCAGAGCAAACAGAAATACAGGGAGGAATATACTGAGTACTTTTGCAGTGCTCTTTTAAAAAGAAATAGATCTTTTCGACTTCCTGTGTCAACAAAGTATTTTCTGGGGGTCCTTATTATCTAAAAGAAACTGTCTTCATATCGGCGTGTATTGCACATTCGTGCCTTTGAAAATTTATTCTAAATATATTGTTAATATGACTATACAATTTTTTAAAATTCCTGAATGCCTCTAAATTGAGCAACTTCAAAAGTGTGAAGCAGTAAAAAGCAATTGTTCTTATGTTAATCTATTTAATCTAGTTTAGTGCCTGGTAATTTATAAACTCTGGTAATCTGAATTACATATTTTAAATGTACAATCTGGGTGCATTTGTCACATGTATAAAATATTGTGCCATCTAGAGGCACATCAGTGTTGCTGCACAACTACATTAGTAGATATTTCCCCATGGTAAAGGGGAAAATAAATTCTGTTGTGTTAACATACTTTAGTGTGGGGAACATTTAACACTGTTACAGATATTGGGCCTTTTTTGCAAATTCAGCTTAAATTTGCAGTCACCCTACTGGGATTCCTTTCATATCCATCAGCATCCAGGTGTTAAAAATGTATAGATTTCTTTAGATGTCATAATTTCACAGATTTTGCCTGAAAGAATACTTCCATAACAAGGACAGAACCACCTCTGACGACCTTCATGCCACAACTGATAAAAAAAAAAAAAAAAAACCTGAGTGGACACCTTTCAGTGGACAGAACCACAAATTGGACTATTACATCGACTGTTTCAGGAAGAAAGTTAACAGTGAAATTCTCAACAAAACTCAAGACCTCCACAAGCTCCCACTCAGAGAGAAAAGCCATTTAGCCTGTAAGGTCCAACCATGAACTAGTAATCAAACCAGTGGAAAAAGGAGCTTTTGTTATCCTCAACTGTGAAAACTACATCAATAAGGCTTACAGCTCTCAGACATCAACTACTTTAAAGAACTTGGGGAGGACCCCACACCAGCATTTGCTCTGGAACTGGAAAATATTATCAAATCTTTTATAAACCAGATTTATGAAAAACTACTTCCACTAATCACCAAGGAATGTTTTATATGTTCCCAGAGATTCACTAAGGACAACCTGGCAGACCCATTATATTCAATGCTGGTACCCTCACTGAGAGCTATTAGGATTCATAGAAACAAGTCTAAAATGACTTGTCACTCAAAGAGCAAATTTTCTGTGAGACACAACAGACTCACTCAAGAAGATCCAGGACATTAACCACTTCCCTGAGAAGGCCATACTTGCAACCATGGATGTCACCAGCTTATACATTAATATCCCACACAATGAAGGCAGAGCTGCCTGCTTGCAGTTACCTACAGGAAACAAATTATACTCAGATTTGTAACCACAACATATACAAATCATCCATTTCATCCTCCCCCACAACAACTTCACTCTCAGTGACACTTCCTCCAAACCATGCTAACTTCCTCACAAGCCACCTGGTAGAAGTGTTTTTAGAAAAGTCTGACACTAAATCTGCATTGTACCTGCACCACCCAGGTGATGTTTTCATCATTTGGACTGAACACCTGGACTGGCTTATTGACTTCCACTGTAAGTTTAACAACTACCACCCTTCAATCAAATTCTCTCTGGAATACTGCTACAATAATATCAACTTTCTAGACACCATGATCTATATCTGGGAGGGCACCCTACAAACTGCTACATACAGAAAACCGATGGACCACCACACTTAGAATTCACAAAATCACCCGAAAAACACCACAAAATTTACAGTCAGGTACCTCAGAAACCACTGCATGTGCTCGGAGGAGAACACTTGGGGGACACATCCTGCCAAACTGAAAACAGCCTTTACAAATAAGGCTCCAGCAGAGAATAGACCATGTCTTTCGAAGAGCCACCCAGATAGCCTGCAGCAACCTACTATAATACAAGAAAAAAAAACCCCACTGACCACACACCCTAGGTTTTCACCATCCCAGACTTGAACCTGTAAGAAGAATCATCAAACAACTACAACCTATACTTGAAAAAGGACCAGATATTGAGAAAAATATTCCCAGAACCCCTGCTCCTAGTCTTCAAACAGCTCCCTTCTAACCTTGCCCCAGCTCATCAGAAGTAAAGTCCTGGCTGATCAACAGGTGCCTAATGGGACCCTGCTCTGCCTCAACAACAACTAACCTGTCAAACATCTGTGTCATAACAATGAGCGTTCCCCAACACAAAACATCAGAAACTACAGATCATACACACAGTTATCTCAGAATGTGGTAAACCTCATTTAGTGTACCAAATGGAAACAATGTGGGTGAAACTGGTCAACAACTATGCACCAGAATGAATAACCACCAAAAAAGATAACAGACAGAGACATTAGGACACCAGTAAGAGAATATTTTTCACTGAAAAACCACTCCTTGTGTGACTTCACAGTTCTAGTGCTCAAATGAAATCTCCCTAACAGGCCAAGCATGGGAACAGAAATTCATCAGCGTATTGGATACTAAGCACCAGAGACTTAATGTAGACAATGACTTCATAGTCCATTATAATATTCCTAATATTCACTAACCCCTGCACTTCACAAGTAATAATGACCTTGCTTAACAAGCTTTTGTTCCATCTGCTATTTAGCTCATCCATGTCTGCTTCTGTCTCAGAGGCCTGAGGAAGGGTACTGTGATACCCAGAGGCTTGTCTACGTTTATACCATACAGTTGGTCCAATAAGCGATACAGCCCACAAGAATTGTTGCTTCCTTCAGAGATTCTCAATCAATTTACATTCTCTTAAAAGCAGTTTATGAAAAGCAAAAACAAGACAACACCAACAAAAGACACATTTTTTTCTCTCTTTTATAATAACATTGCACTAGCAGTACTACAGTTAAGGGTTCATTTTCAAACTTCTGCTTTAGAACAATCTCAGAATTTACCTTTTGTGTGAAAATGATTTCAGTTTAGTCCAAGCCAACAGCATAAGATTAATAAACATTGGATCACTGGCTGCATTTTATGTGACATGCTTTTGTTGAAGAGAAAAAGTGAAAAATATTTTTAAACTAAGATTTTTTTTTTCCATGTGCTTCTTTTGTACTTATAGAAAATCCCAAAAATCACCAAAAAAAACCCTTCACTGTTGTCTCACATTTAGTCCTGAGTAATAAGGGCAGGCTGTTCATTTTCTATGTCTGAAAATTTGGCTTTGCAAGTAACGCTAAGTATCTTTTTTTTGAGTGTTTTGGACATGTGCAGTACATTCATTTAATTAATTTCAGAATGATGCCTACAGCATTGTGATAACTCTCTAATATCATTTGTAGATATTTGATTTTGTAGCAAAAATTATCCTATCTGGCTTAGAACCAAAAGACCTGTGATAGAGATTCAGGAGGTGTTTGTAAGAGCAGGCATGTGAATTTGTAGATTCAATAAAAATGTTATATTTAAGGTATGAAATATTTGATACCAACCATTTTCTACAAGAATAATCTTCTACACACTTCAGTTTGGAAGGGTTTGGGAAAATGTGAGAGTGAAATAATGTCAAATAATATTCTGGCTGATTAATAAATTCATTTTTTGCCAAATAATCAGAGCTATTGATATTTTAGTATTTCTACAAAAGGAAAGATTAAGTGTTTCCTCGGGAAGCACTTAAAAACTTCAATTAAATAACAGAATGGTTATTTAAATGTGATCAGTATCTTTATTTCCATACAAAAAATGTATGTATTGTTTGTGAAACTGGGCACTCAAGTCCTGAGAATGGAAATGCTCCTATGATGCTTCCTTTCCTCTCCAAACATCTGTTATCTTTAACCAGAGGGGACTACTTTCAGGGAGGAAAGGATAATTCATTTCCTTTTTAAATTTATTCTTTGGCTCATGCAGCCAACCAGAGTGGTGATAGTTGCCTCATGGCAATGCTGATTTTGTTATTGGGCACTTCTGCTAGGAATGGGGTTACACCACAAATTCATTTCACAAAGCCTTCTAGGCATTTGTCATGGATTGGTGACATCCAGTCACTGTTAGAGGGGGATTTGCATTGGTAGATCAGGGTGAAAGGCCATTTTCTCAGTTCCCTAGCTGTCCAGTCCTGAAAGTGAAGCAATGGAATAACTGCACTGTAACATTTGAAGGAAATGATTTATTTCTCCAGTAAAGGGGCAATATCACTTCCTTTGTGGATTTCAGTGGGGTCAGGAACAGGCTGCTTACTTAGTTACAGACTGTATTTAATGGACAACAGTTTTCATCTTTAGATAAATAAAAGCTATAATGACATCTGCCAAGCTAAGTTAAATAAAAGCTGCTTAAAATCTGTCACTCATCCAAGTCCTTTCAAGAGAGCTTTTTATGGTCTTAGCTGTTTTCGGATGGTAAAACAAATCAATTTCTTGATTTTTTGTGATTCAGGTTTGTTAACATTTCATAAATGAATGAACAGAATCAAAACAACAAGTGCTTTTCTTTTGCATTGAACCATGGAAACATTCCAATGCTATAAACCTTTTGTCTGTTTTCATTTAATTAGGGTTTTCCAGGAGACATTGGTGTACCTGGACTAAATGGTCCTGAAGGTCCCAAGGTAAGAACTTGTAGAACCTTGTAACAGCATCAGTAATGCCCTGAGAGCGAGAAGATAAAGTTCCGGGGGACACAAGGAAATTGGGAGAGACTTTCTGTTGTATGCTGGGAAACTTGCAAAGTACTGTGACCTGAGCATGACCTTATCCTTGCTGTCAGCTATGTAAATCAAGAGAGAGGCTTTGTCTGTGCAGGCAGTCTGCATCAGCTTCTTTTAATTCAATGTAGTTAAATTAATGCAAACTGCTCTGTGGGCACTAAATTTGACTTAAGAATGCGAAATTGGCTTAAGCCTGCTACCAGTAGATTTATGCAAAACTGAAAAACCAAAGCAAGTGTGTCCAGACAGGGCTTTACACCAGTTTATTTATATTGGTTTAAATTCAAACCTGGGGTCATAATGTACAGCTTTTCTAGTTACACTGGTGTCTAGCTCTTCAGCCAATGGCTTTTTCACAAATATGACCTTGTGTAATGTTTTAATGGAAATTATACCTGAATCTTTATTGTCATTCATTATTTCTGTGTGTGCTGTTCAGATAAGATAGAAATAAAAATAAAAGTACAAGAGTAGCATTGTACATTAAGATTTCAATAGATTATATAGAAATAAGAAATGATGACCTGGATAAAACAGAACCAACATGGGTCAAAATCACATTGGAGGAGGATTGTAAAAGAGGCTGTATTAGAATAGTATCAGCAGTCAGTTTCTGCCCCCACTAAATTGGATTTAGGTATGGAGAGGTTTCTTTAATATGCCCCCCACTTTGTATTTACTCTTGAGACTGCTGCAGGTTTTTAGCACAGTTATTCCTGAAACACACTTTTGAGCAGCACTTTGTCACCTACTTTTATGGGTAAATTACACTTATTTGGCACCTACAAACTGGGTTCATCTACATGTGCAGCTAATATGCCTAAATTTTCTGTGCAGAAAATTCAGGCTCATTAATGTGGTCCCAAGTGCATGTCTACACATGAGCCCCCATTGAAGCAAATTCCACCTGATAGGGCAAGCCAATCCAGGGCCCCTCCTGTCCTATTTTGCCCCACTACAGCAGCCTGGGAGAGCGCTAGGCTCCTCTGGGTGCCAGCCCCAGGTGCTGGCAGGAAGCATGGGGGCCAGTCCCAATCTCCACCAGATGAGGAGAGCTCTGCTTGCTGCAGGGGCAGCTGTCTTCGCAGCCATGTGGGCATCAGGATGGGTTGGGTCCCAAACCCCACATGGCTGGGATAGCTGTGCCTGCTGCAAGGGCAGCTGTCTCCCTGCTACATGGGGGGCCCTCATCTTGTATTCAAGTAAGAACAGGGGAAGGGTATATGTGTAATATATAAAACACCAAATTATATATAAAACAACACGGGTCTTGATGACTGTATACATAGATATGAAGATATAGATATGTGAAGATGTATAGAGAGAGAGAAATGTGACTATTGATAGGACCCAGATATTCCTGGATGACATAACTAGGCAGTTTCTTCGTAAGTGGCTAAACTAACATGGCATGATGCTATTTTAGATTTTTTTCGAGTAAGTAGCATTGAAGTGATGAAAGAACTGGTTAAAAAATGCCTTTGAATAAGTTGAGTTGACTCAGTATAAATTACGTGGAAAGATACAAAATAGTTCTGTTACTGAGATTTTGTATTTCAAATGTGCAATTTATGTGAAAATAAGATTAATAACCACTTCAAAAGGATTTAAGTATGAGCAGGATTACAGTGAGGTGCAGATTAAAGATCTAGTTCTAGCTCAAAATCTAAATAAATACTCCGTCTCAATTTTCAAGAAAGATGATGACATTGAACATAGAAGCTAAGATGGGATAGCTAACAAGAATTTTAAATAGAATGCTTAATGCACTTAAGTCAGGTGAATGGGATAATCTTCATCTCAGATGCTGAAAGAGCTGGCATATGAAGTCCAGTAATAAGGATTTTTGATAAATCTATCAAATTGGAGATAGTACCATATAACTTGAAAACCAATAACACAGTGCCAATATGTAAGAGGAAAATATGATCCTAATAAATACATGCCTGTTAATACTATAATATACAGTGTGTTAGAACAAATTTTGAGGGAAATAATGAGTTACGGAGGTAAATGGAAAGGGGGATAAAATGCAAAGTGGGTTTACCAAAGATAGACAGCATGAGATAAACCTGGTGTTTTTCTTCACTAAGAAACCTGATATTTTAGACCAGTAGATTTAATCTGTCTAGAATTCAGTAATGGTGTCAAACTGAAAAAAAAAAGATAAACTGGGAAAATGGGGATTAATACAATAATTATAGGTTGGGTAAGGAACTGGTTAAAATGGAAAAGATAAAAAAATTGTTTCCAAAGAGGAACTGCCTAAGTGGAGAAAGGTTACCAGTGGTCTACCCAAAGAGTCTGCTTTGTGACAGATCTTATTCAATATTTCATTAATGTCTTGGGCACAAAAAGGAGTACTCTAATTTAATTTTCAGGTGACAAAGTTAGGAGCCATTGCCAATATAGAGCAAGACTGGATATCATACACAAAGTAATGGATGACTTTGGGGACTGGAGTGATAGCAAGTAGCATGACATTTAATAGTATAAAATGCAAAGTCATACAACTAAACAAAAATGTCTACTATAAACTGGAAACTAGTAATTTGGAAGTGAGAGGAGAAAGACCTGGGTAGGATGAATCTGATCCACCACTGTTGATACAGCTGTAAAAAATGCAAATACATTCCTATGGTATGTCAGGTGAGGTACTTCCAGGAGCAGTAAGCATTAATGTCTAGTACACAGTGGTATGACATCATCTGGAATATTGTATAAAGTTCTGGTCATCCATGTTCAATAAAGATGGACAGGCAGGGGAGGATAGGCACAGGGGGAACAAGGAGCTTGAAAGCAAGAGGCACAGGTCTGGCTCCTCACCATCCACCATTGCTTTCTCCTCCATAGCAGTGGGGAGACATTAATTTAAGACCATCTTCCACTAATTAGATTCTATGAATGGAAAATTATAATGCATTTATAATTTTCTATGCTTAAAATCTAATTATGGGGTGGGGGGGATCTTCAAATTTGAAGTTGTCTTGGATTTGGGTAAATATAATAAATGATAAGAATTATGTAGCAGCAAAGGACTGATAACCAAGAGCTCCATTTCCATCCTGTTTCCTATATTCCTATGTTTCAGCCATTTCCTCAGAGTTCATCTGCTTCAGTCTCATCTGTGCCTGGGTTGTACATAACATCCTATAAAGTATATATCTTGATTCAAAATATGAATCCTGCCAGACTACACTTTTCCTTCTTAAAATATCTCACTCATATCTCCCAGTCACTCTAACAGCTAAAAACCTGGTTAACTTCCCACATATTTCTTGTCCATAAATAGCTTTGACCACAAAATGAGCAAGACATTATGAGTTTCTAGGCATGCTGAAAATGTACATATGAGAAAATATGGTGAAAAATTGGTAGAAAGTTGGGTAGAAAGGAGCACTTTTATTGCTCTAATGTAGTTGATGGTTAAACAGTTTGTTACTAATTGTGATTATTTACTGATGCTAGTCAGCTTTTATCTGTAATCTATACAGGGATATTGGTGGATGGCTCCTCTGATGTTTCTGTGAGATTAATGAATTGTCAGGGCACATAAGAAGAACTCCTAATGGAAGACTATGCATATGCATCACTAGAGATGACGGAATACAAATGTTAGTTCCTGAAGTGTAGATTCAGTTTAAAATACTAATACTTAATCATGTAGTTGAACACACATTCCTGTTCACATTCTTTCACTAACTGAAATCACACATTATTCTACTGTAGATGTAAAATGCTCAAATAAATATGTTACGTGAGAAGTAGACTTACGTTTCAGAATGACAAGACTTGTCTATCACCTTTCACCTAACTCCTAGCAAAAATGCCAAGAACTAGCCTACAGTATTTGTTTAAGGCTCCAGACTTTATTTGATACAAGAATTCAATAACTTTACAAGAGTCTGTGTTATCCAAGTATACTGGCTTCCAAAGACCTAAAGCTTAGACAGCCTAGTCTAATCAAGGAGAATTGGTGGCTTACATTTGAAAGGGAATATTAGAACTGGAAAAACTTTTGCTCTGCTTATAACACCAAGAGAGCAGGGATTTATGAAACTGGAAATGTTCACCATTGAGATTCCCAGCTGTCTTGCATTGACTGCAGTTGTGAAGTATTTCCTCCACATTTTTTTTAAAACACTGTTTTCAACATACTGACCTTTCCTAATTCTTCCATATTTTCCCAGAAGCCAAATCTATATTAGGTGCCAGAAAAGCAGGATGGGCTTTCTATTTTAGCAGTTAGCAGGAGATAAACTGACCATTGTGCTAGAAAGTATGAGATCTGCAAGCATGATAAGCCTTCTCTGAATTCCAGGAGAACTTTTGGGCTGGCCTTTTAATCCAAACTACTACAGTAGACAGAAAATATGAACTCCCAGAATAATGTGCAAAGGCCATATTATGTAGGTTGGTCCACAAGAGATTTGACTTGGAAATAATAAAAAATATAAAAAGTGTTTGAACTTCCTTGATTCATAAAATGAAGCTTTTATGTCATGAAAGAAGAGGGGTGGTTTTAGCTTAGGAAATTGTGAAATACCTTTCTGTTTGTTCCTTGTGTTAGTCTTACAAATAATTCTGAGTTGCTTATAAGACTAGCCAGAGAAGAAGTAAGGCAGACATGCTGACTACAGGAATATCAGAATGGTTTCTCTAGTAATACATGTTGTACTATGGAAATAGCTGAGATCTTCCGTCATCTGCCCTTTGATGTTTTGTTTGGATAGAATACCTCATATATGTGGCTATTAAGAACTCTACTAATCCTGTAAGAAAGACTCAACTGGAAATTTATACATGCGTGTGAAATATAGGGTGCCCCACAATTTGCTGACTCCCTGAATTCTTTCCAGACAATTTGGCACATCCCTAAAGACAATTTTATTTTCTGTTCATTGCCTAAAACCTCAGAGTGGGGATGGAGACTTCAGTTATCTTAATATCAATTTTAAAGTCTGGGATGCTTTTTACAATTTAACTACATGCTCTCTAAGTATACATATGGTAGTTCAGAAAGTTCCTAAAATGTCCACCAGGAGTTTAAATGGTAATGAAAAGCATATTACAGTAGTTTACTTATTTCTATGGCACAGTAAAATAATAGTTCCCTTTGCTAAGGAGAAACTTTTCTTTACTAATTAAATAAGCATATTATTTATATAGTGTTACTACATGTATTTTTGTTGCTTTTGCCACTGTATTGGAGATGCTATCTAGCTGCAGTTCTCCATCCTAGTTTCCCAGGCAAGCCTGTCAGTGGGATCTTTTAGATTAAACTTGGTGGTGGCTTATTGCCTTTTCTATGTAATGCTGTTTTGTGTGCCTGTTACTGGACAAATGCCTACACTGCAGTCTAGACTTCAGCTAAATTAGTAAGCAGTTAATAAGGCTTATGCTGGAGCTTATCCCCCAGCTATTTCTTCAGTGGCTAATCATATATTTTCTAAGAGTAATTATTTTGTTCTGGTTGCTTTATCTGATAGCCTGGCATTCCCAGGATACTAATAGTAGGCTTACATAGATATTTTCTGTCATAAGGCAAGGTTAAGTGCTTTGACCAATTATTACCATTGCAATTTAGATAACCAAGATTTTTGACACACCATTACTTCCTCAGTCTTAATAATGTGTTTTTATAAATATTTCTGCAAAAGCATGTGATAACTCAAGGTTGGCAAACCTCTCTGACACTCTTTAGAATTCTGCCCAGGTTTGTAATAAGTGAATACTGTTGCCAAGTATGTTCTGAAAAAGCTGTTCTGAAAAAGCTGATAGCCTTAAAGTTAATTGCTGCTACGCCCATACTATACCAGACATCTTTACAGATATATGACCACTATAAATGCTTTCTAATTGATTAAAATCTGGGAATATAGCTTGGTAATCACAGAAATGTTGTATGTGATACTACTGTACACATAGCAACATAAGAGTTCAGTCTCTATAGTTCACCTTACCAGTACTGAAAATACAGTTATGCACTTTTGCCCAATCACTGTTTATACAGTCAACATAGAATGAACTGAAATAGCAGTGCATAGCATCTTACACTTAGCAAGGTTTTGGAACAAATGTAATCATGGCCAATGGTCTCCATAGTCAGTGTTTAGATGCTTCTTCCTGCTGGATCAAACCATAAAAATCTAATGTTTGATGGTTATTCCCACAACACTTGTACTATGAAGCAATTATCCCATTGAATGATTAGAAAGGATTGCCTTCCTGATCAGTTTTGGTGACACCTAAAAGACTGTACTCGACTATATGAACAAGATGAGCAAAAGGGTGTGGGATTGAGATAAATAATTTAATTAATATTACTGTAAAAACAGTTCCATTAAGGGAAATTTTATCATCAAATATTCTAAAGATTACCTAAAACAGGTGGTTGCAGGTAATGTCTCAGTTTATCTTAATGTAGCTCGTCAGATACAAGCTAACTGCAAGTAACAAAAATGAACTGATGTCTTGCAAGCTTCAGCCAAGTCGATCTTTCACCTTCAAAAGTTTCAAAATAGCTTGAATCTTAGAACTGTCAGCTAGAGTTCATTGAGTACTGTAGTTTTCATGCTCTGGTTTCCTACAGAAAATGAACAATACCAGGTAATGATGTCTGCTTCCTCAGCATTCAGCCTTGTATTCTGTCCAGAATTGTATAAGGAAAATGTGACTAATAGACTTTTTGACTGAAACAAAAACTTATTCTGGTTGTTTTGTTATTCAGGGACTTCTAGGTGACCGAGGGCCTCCAGGGCCACCTGGCCCCAAGGGAGTTGAGGTAAGATGAATATGTTATCAAGTCAACAATTTACTGTTCAAAAAAAACCCCCAAATCCTTTTTTCCTGTAAGAAAATGATGCATTGGTGTGTATACTGTTTTCATGTAGGATTTCAAGCCTCCATTTTATTTTGGTAGGTTTTGAATAGAGTTTTCAGTCATTTTTACAGTAATATAAATTCATCATAGGATTTATTTCAGTGGTCTGTGTGGAATGTCTGAATAATCTGTGTCCAGAATCTTGCACATGGAATTCAGAATTAATAATGTAGTAATTTAAGTGTAATTTTTACTAAGAGTATTGGATAAAATCCTGTCCTCTATAAGTCAATGGTGAATCTCCCATTGACTTCAGGGAAGTCAGGGTTGTATCATATATTTTTATAAATATTCATAATCCTTAAATATAAAATACATATGATGGGTTCAAACATATCTTGTTGGTTTATGCTGTTTGTTTTTTGTTTTAGAACTTTTTAAAGATACCATTAAATCAGTTTTTGTCTGTTGGTAGAGCTCCAGAACTTGTATCCAGTTTTATGATGAGTTTTCAAGAGAGTTTTTGAATGATTAAAAATAGTACCCAAAAATTATCATTCTAATTAAAAGGGCAGGTAGCATGAAGTCTGTTGTTCTTTTCCGTTCTTTCACTTCAGACTGCTGCTGACAGTATTATGACAATCAGGACTTAATGTCATTATCTAATGAAAAAAACCTCAAAAAGTTAGTATTTGCAATGCACTGTCATGTACTATTTAGAGGCTGTTTTTTTCTCCTATATTCTCCTTTTCTTTGACTTCTGGAAGAATTTGCTTTCCTGTGTCTGATCCTTACCTACTTTCATCTGCTTGAAAAATCTCAGATGCATCTTGACAGAACTTATTCTGTTTGCATGGCACGCATTCTATAGTTTTCTGGAGACTGTGCAGTACCCCAGATTACAAGTCCTAAATCAATTCAGTGATTGACCTATGGATAGGTTGATCCATGACTGCTAGGTCTAGCTTGGCAAAAGTGATGAAAAACTTTCCATAAGAAAGAACTTTGACCAGCTCTGATTGAGCAGATTGTGTCTGATGGTTTTGTAATGTGTAGATTTCTGACTGTTTAGTAACTTGGAAAAGGTCAGTTTAGTCTCTTTCTCATTAAGCTTATACAGAACCTAGTGGTAAGATCTCTGCCTACATCTGTATACTATGCAGGCTTAAGATTTTGCAACTTTTACACATGCTTCAGCCGCTGGGATGAGGGGGCTTTAATTAGAGTGGCTCCAAGAGCCACTTAAAATAGCAGAGGGGGTGCTTGAACTAAAGTGCATTCTATGAACTTTAGTTCAAGCACCCCACCACCATTTTTAAGCACAGGGATGTAGATACACAAGATGCAGGAGGCTGCTGGGGCACTGTAATCACCACGCTCCAGCAGAGTCAATTAATTGCATTGGAATTCCAGTGCATCAGAGCAGCCTCCACACTCATGTATGGGCACCTTTTAAGCTTAACATAATAGCAAAAAAGTGATTATAAATTCTGATCTTTTTAGGGAGAAGAAGGACCAGTTGGACCTGTTGGAGGAGTTGGACCAAGAGTAAGTATGTTTAACTTTAGTAACTGAAATTAAAGTTAATTGCCTTTAACAAAAACTCTCTTCAAAATTTATTTTAAAAAATTACTGTAAAAATTAGCAAGGGATCAGCAAGTCTCCTCTCCATGTTTATTATGAATGGAGCTGGGTAGGAAATAGTACGGTCCTTTTCTGAAATTACAGAAAGCTTCCTCTTGTGCACTGGGGTAAAACTGTTCAGGAAAGACCAGAGAAAGAGGGCTGAGAGAGAGCCATATGCCAGAGTAGCCAATAGCAAGTCTCCTCTCTGCCTGAAACATCTCCTATGATGCTTTGTGGTAATTCAGCCAGAGGAGAGACTGCATTGCATTATCAGGTAAGAGGTCTGGCCATGGAAGCATGTGGCAGTGCAGAAGTTCAGGCAGACACAGCTTAATGTCAGACTAACCCAAAAGGAAATGTTTTGGCTTTGTTCAAGAAACTGACATTTTAATCTGGGTTAACCTGACCCAAAATTAAGTTGAAAAAAATGTTGACCTGTCTAATGTTTCACGGGTTTCTGTATCACAACAAGCATTTGTGGGTGAAAAATACATGGGCATGCTTCATGAACAGTGAAGTGGATCATAGAATTGATCTCTTTAGACTTTTTTTAAGAGTTTCTTGGTTTACCTTCCTTTCTGACACCACAGGGCCATGAATCAAGGAGTTTGGGGTCAGTAGGGGAGTCAGGTTCCTCACTACATGCTTCTGCTGTTAGCTTTTCTCCTTTGCTTCAGCTCCTGTGGCCCGCACATTGTGGTTCCTCCAACTGAGGTGATTTCAGAGCCCTTTGTCAGCAATATTCTGAGCCTCTGAAATCTCTAGCCTTGATACCCACACTTCCACCACTGTTTCTCCTTGCTCCTGTGCTCCTACTCATAATGTGGGTTTGGAGAGATTGAATTGGGTTGGGGTTAGAGGGACGGTGGGCCCCAACCAAATGAGCCGGTACAGATACAGAACCAAATAAAAAAATGCTGTATACATCTTGCTAAGAAGAAGTGAAAATGTATTGCATAAAGGCAATTCAAAAGTCTAGGAAGCAAAATATCAGGCAAACTTAGCTTTATATTGAATAAATTCAATCTTCATGAAAGGTGAAATATTAGTTGCTGACAGATATGTTTTCTTCCAATTCCAGTTTAACATATTCAGGTACATTATTTGCCATGCTAGCCAGTTTGGTTACAACCTGGAAATCTAGGCTTAGTTTTTGGTATGGCTCAATACACCTGAATATGTTAAACACTAAGCCTGGATTTCCAGGTTGTAACCAAACTGGTTAGCATGGCAAATAAAAAACAATCTTACTCCTGTAGCTGTGCTACATAAATCTTAATTTTCCATGTCCCTTAATTATTTTATCACATGACACCAATAATCCTATAATGCTGGGTTCTGCAGCCTTTTCCACTGATTATTCATGTTGGTTGCCTTATTTATATTAATAAATAACACTGTAACAATAGTAGGATTAAAAAGCTACTCCACAGTTTTCATAGAAATAAATAGTAAAAATTTAGTGATATATGAGAATATCTTAGATGGTAACTTTTTCCTTCTGGGAATCCCAAGTAAAGCGATGCTGACTAGAACCAGTAAACCTTGAAGTGAGATTGAATTATAATCTAAGTATTTCTGTCTTTAATTGGTTCCTCAAATGACACATCTGATGCTCACATGTGGCCTCTTCGCCACCTGCGTACTCCTGTTAGGATGTCAGAGTGCTTGCTAATCATAAGCTGGAACTTCAGTCTCAGTGAGCAGAAGTTGCCTGTCACAGATATTTAAATATGTTGGCTGCAGTGACTACCTCTTCCATGACAGGACTATCACACTGATGTTGTGTTGTTTATTTAATCCATGTAAATAAAGAGAGTTACTTTGCCACATGTGTTTGGAAGTGATCAGATTTCCTGAAACTTGAGGAACAAACTGGAATATTCTTAGGTTTACATTTTCTGCCAGTAAAAGGAGAAGATTTAATGTGTGTGTGGTTATGGAACATATTAAGGCTGTATAGCTTTAAAACATATTTAGAATTTTTAGGCACATGGAAAAACATACAGACGTTGGCACTGAAACAAAGAAGCAGACAGAAAAAGTCAAAGTAATAAATACCAAAGCTCAAGCTTTCCCAGCTCTGAAAAGTCAGGAGACAGTTTGATGCCCAATGCTTTGACTGTGCTTTACCCTAAAAATAAAATTCTCAAGACAAACTATTAATCCCAGAGCCACAGTTACTCAGTCTCTTGGAGCAATTGTGACAGAAAATTCTGGCTTAGCAAAATGTAACTGTATAATACTGGAGTTTTCCTTTTAAGGTGTTTCCTCTTTCATGAGAGGTGTCAGTTGTTGCTACATATACACCAAATCCTGGAAATGAGGCAACGTAACTGCGTTAGAGCAGTCCTGAACATATCCCAATAAACATATCATTCACAGAAAGGTTGGAACAGACTTGTTTGTGTTGAATGATAGAAACTATATGGTCACAATAGATTTTTACTCCAATTTTTGGGAGGTGGGCTATAGAGGACTCTCAAAAAAGAACAGTGATCAGGGAGCTGATGGTATACTTTGCCAGGTATGGCATACTCCATATCTTGTGTTCAGACAGTAGGCCAGATCAGCTGTTAAGAGAGGCAAAAAGCTCGTAGAAAGGGAAAAAAAGAATGGATATGATCCATATCTGGCTTTGCTGGACCATAGTAATACCCCTTCTCAGGGACTTGATAGTAGCCCAGCCCAGACATTAGTGGAGCAAAGAACCAGGACAGCCTATTGCAACCTGATGGAGGGAAAACAGACAACAACACATGGAGATTGCTAATAGAACAGCAAGACAGACAAGCAGCATATTACAGTAGAGGAACAAGAAACCTGAAGCGTCTCTACACAGAGGAGACAGTCTGGGTTCAGTCATCTAGCACCCACATAAATCAATGGCATAAGGCCATCATCTAAGCTGTCATTGGGCCAAGGTGTTTACCACTGAAGACTGGTGGTTGAGAAGAAATTGTAGACAGTTGTAGAGAAGCAATATCAGGGGACCAGGATGCAGGGACAGAAGAGACCAGTGTCCAGGTGACTCTGATTGGGCCTCAACCATCAGTTGGCCAGAAGCCAGAGAGTCAGATGTAGTAAGAAATATGCGTGGTCACCAGGAAGACAATCAATCACCAATAGGAAGACCACAGTCTGTCTAACTAATCTATCACCCAGGTGTGGACCTAACACTTGGATCCCTAAATAGGTTAATATCAGTCTGAATCAACCATATAAAAGTTCAGGACGGTTAGATCAGTCTAAAATTGCTGACCGGATCAAAGGTAACTTGGAGGTAGTCTAATTTAAAATGAGTCCGATGAGACCAATTTAACTGAACTTCTGTACAGTTCCCAGCGCAGTCCCCCAGCTCCTCCCCAGCCCCCCAGACAAACAACCCCTCCAGCCAACCCTACCCTCCAAGCCCTCCAAACCCTCCATCCCACAAGCTGCTCTCTGTGCCAGTTTTACAAGTAATTTGGGGTTAGGGGGTGTGGGTGGGATGGTGGGGATTGGTTCACTGAGTGGCTAAAAATAACCCCACAACCCCGCCCCCATACTCCTATAGACCCTGCTAGCCCACCCCCACCCCCAATTCCTCTAGATATAGTAGCCATTGTTAATGTGATCTAGCTGCCTCCTGTCCTCCCAAAATGTATATGTGCCCTATATGGCCCTGCAGTTTAATAAATTATAGACATAGGCCCTTTCTCACTAACAGTATGATACTATTAGGTGGTTATCCTAACAACAAAATGTGAAAAATCTTCAGGAGAAGAAACTCAAAGAGTTGAAATTCATTCAAGAGCTGAAAGAACCTCAAGAACTAAAATTTACAGCAAACTTCATAAGCAAAAAAAGAAGGAATTTGAGGTGATTGTGTCATTGAGGAATGAGGGTTGGAACACCATCATGAAAGGTTTCTGTCCCGATGCTCTGTGGCGTGTGGCTGCCCTACTTCACAGGAGTTAAGCTAATAAAATTTGGCCTTTGATTTTTTTTTCCCTTTGTTGATAACTGGTTTTGGTCAGCTGAAATGTCCATGTATTGGATTCTTGTATTTGCTAATTTTCTTATGTAGAACATTTAGCTGCTGTAAAAGCTGCTTCAGGGTTCTGTTGGTTGTATTATGTTAGCTTTTATAATAAACAGTGTATTTTCTGATTATAGACTGGATAATACATTAAACATAATATGCTGTCAACTATCATTAAATGCATTTAAGAGTTCAATAAGAAGCTTACATTTTGTATAGGAAGACCTTTGTAAACAGAGAAATAAGGATTTTTTTATATATTCTGTAAAAATCCAATATTTTATATTTTTAATTTTAATTATTCTTCTAGGGAAGGTCAGGTCAGAAAGGATATGCAGGGGAAGCAGGACCAGAAGGCTTGAAGGTAATGCTCCTGGGTTTGTATACATGAAACAGAACAAAATTGAAGTGAAAGTGTGTGCCTGAAGGTATAAAAGCAGATATAGCCAGTGAACATGCCTACTTGCAGGATTCTCCCTTGGGAAGGGCACTCTCTGCAGGTTTAAGGAACATGGATTAGGTAACAAAGAAAGATATTGCCTGTTGTGCCACTTACCCTTCCCTGTGCCCCTCCATATGGCCATGAGAAGCACATAGGTGAAAATTTGAGGGAGCTAACAAGTCAGTTTGAATGTTGTTGACATAGGGATGGAGATATGGGGCAGGAGAGAAAGGGAGAGAGGAATAAGTCCGTCATTGCACTTTAAGGTGCAACCTAACTCCCTTGGTGTGATGCCCAGCTTCTGGGATATGATGCTTCAGGTACAAGGGAGCAGTGCTTAGCTGCCCTCCCAGCAAAGGCTCCACAAATCGTAGTTTGGCAAGTTCTCAGAACTGATATTGCAACCTTTGTAGTGTTATCCAGATAATAAGTAATAGAGCCAAAATCTGATGTAAGATGCATTGGTGAAATCCTGAATGATTCCATGAGTAACTGTAGAGTAGGGGTGGGCAAAGTACAGCCCACGGGTCAGATCTGGCCCATGAGGCCATTCTGTCCAGCCTGCAGGGCCCCAAAAAATTTAAAAAATTAATATTTTTCTGTCTTTGGTTCCTGTGAAAAATGACAGGAGCTGGGCAGTAGGACCCCAGGGGAAGCCCAATGGGTTCCTGCAACAGCAGGGCCTGTCCAGCCCCACTCCCCCAGTCAGAAGCCCCAGCAGGGGCTTCTGGCTTGGGACCATATGGCTGCCCAGGCGCAGGAAGCTCAGGTAAGGGTGGGGCAGACCCTGGTCAAGGAAGGAGCCCAGGGAAAAGCAGCCCCTCCTCCGCCCCATGGCTGCTGCGCCCTGCTGCAGCTGCTCGCAGCCCATGTGGGGCTGTCCTGAGAATGGCACAGGCAGCCCCACGTGCGTTGTAAGCAGCTGCAGTACAGGGTGCCGGCCACAGGGCAGGCAAGGGGCCTCTTTTCCCCATGCTCATCACCAGCTTGTAACCCACCCCCGCTGCCAGCCTGGGTCCTGTGCCAGCTCCGGGCTCACCTGTTGAGGCTGTGCCATGGCAGCAGCATCTGCGCCCCCTCCCCCTGCTTGCTGCAGCAGGCAGTGCTTGCTTGCTGCTGCTGCCTGCTCGGAGCTTGCATGCTGGGTAGCACAGAGGTGGTGGTAGCAAACACTACCCAGTGTGGCAAGTGGGGGAGGCACAGCTGCTGCTGCTGCAGTGCAGCCCTGATGAGTGAGCCCGGAGCTAGTGTGGGGCCGGGTTACAAGCTGGTGCTGAGCGTGTGGAAAAGCGGCCCCTCACCTGCCCTGTGGTTGGCACCCAGTGCTGCAGCCACTCGCAGCCCACGTGGGGCTGCCTGTGCCTGCTCAAAACAAAATGAGGGCAGGGCGTACATGGCAGGATGCCCTGCTGCCCTGTGCCCCTCCACCCAAAGCTCCTGCCCCTGCCCCCAGCCCTGCTCGTGATCCTTTGCTTCCCACCCAAAGCCCTTTCTCCCCAGCCGAGCTCTGTAGCTGTGAGCAGCTACCCAGTACCTGAGCCAGCTGCAAACATTTGCTGCCTCTCTGCCCCAGCTGTGCTTGCTCAGGGCAGCCTGCATGGGCTGCAAGTGGCTGCAGCAGGGAGTGCCAGCCACAGGGCTGGGGAGGGTCCACTTTTCCCCATGCTCCACACCAGCTTGTTCCCTGCTGGGGAGCAGAGGGTCAGGGCTGCATGGTTCCCCCTACCTATACAACGGGGCTGGGGGACATTGGGAGTGAGCGGGTGCACAGGGCCCACATCTGTGTCCCAGGGTCAGTGCTGGCAGGGCCCAGAGCAGGGTGGCAGGAGTACAGGGTCCCGGCTGGCAGGGGGCAAGCTCCCCCCTCTCTCTGCTGATGCAGCCTGTGCCCAGCTCCACAGACTCCTGCCAGCCTGCACCCTGTTCTGGGCCCCACCAGTGCTGGCCCTGGGACATTGGTCCCAAGATGGTGACCAGGGGGCAGGGCATCTGTCAAGGGGTGGGGCTACCCATGCGGCCCTCAACAGCTTGCCAAAACTGGGTAAGCGGTCTGCCACCCAAAATAATTACCCACCCCAATCTAGAGCATAGTAACTGTGAGAAGAATTTGCTTCTATACTACTTGTATCAGTTCCAGTAATACCATTTTGGAAGAGAAACTTGTTTTTGTTAGAAGTTTATTTGTACATAAAGTAAGCTATTCCACAAAATAATAGATGTAGACCAGGCAGTTTAAAAAGGAAATTTGAGAGAAATATCAGAATAGTGTTAATAAACATAATGCAAATAATTCCCCCAGCTCATTATGGTAAAACTGAAGTAAAGATGTTAACACAGTATTTGCACATAATTATATAGTCATGTATTTTTGTTTATATTTGGCAAAGGAAGATATTAATATACTGACTTCAAACATGTTTAATAAACATTATTAAATAGCTTACATTTTTTAGGGTGAGACTGTTGTACATAGAGGAATTAGGTCAGTGGTTTTCAACCTTTACAGACTCGAAACACCTTCATTAGACTTGAGGGACCCAGGGAAAATGCCAGCTCTTAGCTTTTTACTACAGAAAAATAACAGAACAATTCTTCTGTTGCAAAGAACTTGGAAAGACCACAACAGGACAGAACGTTTTTAACACAGTGAATTCCTGCTTGAAAACTTTGGGCTTCTCTTGTGAAACACATTTCCACACTTAACAGTGTGTGGCGCCCTCCATCACTCTTGAAAGGATTTCAAGGTATCCCAGAATGCTGCAGCTTCCTAGTTAAGAATCACTGAATTAGGTTAATGTTGAGGAGTTTTATAGAAAAGTGAAATACAGCCAAAAAGAAAAACTGTTTTTCTTTTACTGTTTGAGTCTTAATTGGCAGATACTATGTAGGAAATGAAAAGGATCTTAGAAAAAATAAGAAATTTAAAGCACACTTCTGAAAGGAATAAGCTTTATAATGGACTCTATAACCTGTTTTCCGTATTGACAGGGAGAACAAGGGGATCAAGGAAGCCTTGGAAAAACTGGTGAAGCCGTAAGCTTAAATCTTCCATTTATATTTTTAAGAAATTATTCTGTTAATGTAAGAACTATATATTACTAGCCAATTGCCCATCAAGAATGATAGGGGGGGCGGGAGCAGGCAGGGACAGAGCCCTGCCCCTCCCATCCAGGCCCGCTCCCCCTTCCCTCCTGCTGGTTGCAGTCTGGGCCCACTTCCCCCTCCCCACCACAGCAGCGGCAGGAAGGGAGGAGTGGGCCTTGGCCTGATGCAGCGGAGGACCGGGCCCAAGGGCGGGGGGAAGTTGGGTCAACCCAGTATAGGTGGGGGGACAGGAGGAGTGGGCTCAGGGCTGACACAGGGAAGCAGGGGTGGGGTAGGAGTAGGCCCAAGCCCACAGTGGGGAGGAGGCCCACTTATTCCCTCCCCCAGCTGCTGCCACTGCTACAGCCATATTGGGCCAGGCCCGCTGTTCCCCCCACCCGCCAAGGTTCCCTCCAAGGTGCACACGTGTGCGGCTGCACATGATTTAAAATCTCGCCATGCACTAACTTATTAATGCTGCGCACCCACCTGGAGAGGACCTGGGTGTGGAGCGCAACATAGGCACTAGGGCCAGTGCAGGACACTTACCAGCTTTAAGCTCAGGCAGCAGGTCCTCCCTGAGGCAGGGGCGGGGACAGGGGCTGGGGCTGGGGCAGAGTGTCTCCTCGCCATGTGTCTCCTCGCTCCTCAAGGTGAGGCAGGGGCTGGGGCTTGGAGCTAGCCCCGGGGAACTGCTCCACCGGCTCTGGGGAACTGCTCCATGCCCCAGCCCCAGTGCCATGTGCCTCCTCGCTCCTCAAGGTGAGGCAAGGTGGGGGCAGAGGCTAGGGCTGGGGGCTGGTGTGGGCTCCGCCAGCTCCGGGGAAATGCTCCATTCCCCAGCTCCTTTGGGCTCCAGGCCCCTGTCCCTGTTCCACATGTGTTCCCAGCCCTCTGGGGTCCCTGACCCCAGACAAGGCTGCTCACCCCCCAGTCCCAGGGTCCCTGACCCTTATAGGGCTCTATGCAGGGTGCCCCTGTGCAGGGAGCAGGACAGGGACAGGCGGCGGGGGGAAAAGGCCAGCCCTGCTGGCCTCACACCCCGCTCCATCCCCTGTGTCCCCACCATTGTGGCGGTGGTCTGCCTTCTGTCAGAACGTTTCTTCAGACTCTGATGGGCTGTTGGTCAGAGTGTGAAGAAGTGCAAATAAAGCATAGCGAACAGACAGACAGACAGATATAGGCTTTTATAATATTAGAATAATAACTCTGTTTACTAGTTTTAAAGTGTTTTAAAGCCATGATTATGCTTATAGGGTACTTTTTAATAAGAAAATCACTGATTGCATTGCTTTTAGTTTGGATTCAGCTTGGAATGCCCCATTTTACCAGTTTATGTTAATTTTAATTACTTCCTAATGAGTCACGTGATCACTGGAGGTTATGGGGCTTGTCCAAAGCCCATTCAAATCAGTGAAGAAAGTGAGAATCTGCTGTTAAGTTGTATTTCTTCACATGCAGCCTTCCTTTAGTAAAGCAATTGTAGGATCCAGAAGGCCTTCTGAGCCCTCCACATGTTTCATTAGAGAATTTTCAGAATATCAGTCGTGCCCAAGCCCTTTGGGCACTCTGGGGCTAACTGCCCCCACAAGGTGGACTGGCAGCATGGTTCTAGGGCTGGCTAATGAATCCAGGTTTCTAAATATGCCAAAGCAGAGACATATTCAGCTACTGAGCCCACTTTGAAGATTGGCTTGCATCTCTCTGAATATATAAAAAGACCAAAATCAGCTTGATCCAAGAACTTTGTTCAACAGTTACTACATTATCAAAACCTTCTTTCTTTTTGTTTTAATTGGGCTTTGACAATTAAAATTAATTCTAAGTAATGTGATTAAATGCAGTGGTTTCACTGAGGCATCATTAGAAAATTCTACTACTATTTTATGTAATGTTGCTGAATTATCAGTACAAACTTTGGAAAATCTTGGAACATAAAAGGTTGGCTAGAATGGGCAGCATATCACAGACCTGTCCTGTTCTCTTGAGGAGGGGGATACTGAAATCAATGGCTGCAGAAACATACCAGGAGGAGGATAAAGTAAGTCTGTTTAGGTGAGCCATGTTGATACACCAGCATTATGTTCACTTCCTTTGTTTTCATCAGAGTGCAAAACAGAGCCTTTATTACCAACATATATAGTTTAAATTACATTGTTTAGATCAGGGGTTCCCAAACTGTGGTACGTGTACCCCTGGGATATATGCAAGTACATATCTGGGTGGTACGCAGGAGAAATTGTATAATGGCAGATTTAATATTCATTATAATAACTGGCATTTAAGGGGTTAAATATAAAACATGATGGTAGGGGGATGCAGGCAGCTGGTAAATCTGGAAGGGGGCATGCAATAAGAAAAAATTTGGAAACCTCTGCTTTAGACTGTAATAACTTTGGAAAAGGAAATGTTATTTACATTGTGTTTGCACAGTTGCAAGCACGGTGGGGTGATCTAAGCCTTCAAGCACTACCATCATCATCATAAAGCAATAAGCATATAAGCCATTACAGCTATATGGTATTCCCCTGCAGTCAGAGCTGTCCCTAGGGATATGAGGTGCCCAGGGCATATCAGCCTGTGCAGCATTGGTGGCAGCATCGACGGTGTGGTGGGGGGGAGGTGGCGACTGCCTGCAGAAGCCACCACTGGTGGTGGGGCCACAGCAGGGCCTGTACAACACTATCAATGGGGCCCCCCAAAGCAGAGGGCCTGGAGTGGTCACCCCAATTCGCACTCCCTAGGGACAGCTCTACCTGCAGTAGTGAATTGGACAAAGATTGATTTAATGGACATGGACAGGAGGACTAGGAGGAAGTTAGCACAGTGTAAGGTAATGAAAATGAAATCAGATATGGACAAGCTTTATGTTAATGGGAAGTTAAGGGGGGAAAAGACTGAAAGCAGAGAAGGTTGTGGATCAGGTAAATGCAATGATAACTAATTGCATGACAGAGAAAATAGATGGCATGATCTTGGCTCAAGTCTCAAACCTAAATGAGGGATATAATCCTACTGAGAGTAAGTCACCAGACAGACATCAAGATATTCATAGGCAGAAAGTGATGGAAAAAGAACTCTATGGAGACATTCTTTGTAGAAAAATATCACAAAAATATACTGGCAAATTAGAAGTGGCTTGTCAAATTGGGACTGAAAAAAGAAATTGAACATTTATAATGGCTAGTTAGAAACAGTAGTATAAGCAGTAGTGTGAGCTGATTACTTTGCAAAAAGTATGGACTACAAATACAGGGAAAGCATTACCACCATGAGTCAGATAGTGTTGGAGATGATAATGCGGTAAAATGTTACAATATTACTTTTCTATCATTATTGCTAATGAAGTATATGCTATAAGACCAGCCAGGCTGGTTGTTAAAAATGAGAGGAAAAATGCTTCATTGCTCAGGATTAATCCCACAACCCCAGTTCCTGACTTCCAGTCCTTTTGCTCCCATTTCTGTTTCTACTGCCTATAACTGGAGCCAGTCCGACAAGCAAAGGAAAGGCAAGTAGTCTGCAGACTGATGTCTAGAAGGAGTACGAAAAGCTGTGTTTTGGATTAGAAGGTAAGATGCACAGAGAGGGTCAACTCAGTTGCCTCCAGAATTTTTTCTTTCTCACGTGATGAGAATATGTAAGAAGAGGCTGACAAATATGACCAGTTATGGCAGGAATTGTGGTGTGTTGGGATTCTATGATGGAAGTATCACAATGACTGATTAAACTGGAAATTGGGCTCTATTAGTAAAGCTATGAGTACTTTAGAAAGCAACATGGATGTGCACCTCTAAAATACTGAAGATGAAGATTCTAATTTCACTGATGCCTTGGTCTAAGTTAGAGATTTTTTTCACACTTGCTGGTGAGTGTAAAATTAAATAAATAATTATTACTATTTTAGAATGATAATATAAAAGGAAAGTCTGACCAAGTCAGTTACTTAAACTCAGTATTTTGAACTTCTCCTGGGCTGCATTTTTTTTGTCGTCTTTGTAAACTTTGAATTCAACAGCTAAAGCTCCCATAGTGACAGTCAAATAAAAAATAGACTGTGATCTCATTTTGTTGCTCACAAAATGAAGTTCATTCTTGTACAAGGATGAGATTTATGAACAAAAAAATATATTTAGTGGTTACAGTTTTTCCAGGGAACTAAGGAAAATAATAACAAACTTAATATCCTGCTGTATGTGGTTTGGAAGAAAAAAATGTAAGGAACTAATAAATATTATTTATGCTAAAGGGGAAGAGACCCTGGAGACTGGTGGCCCATGTTGCTGTAGTTGAAATACTTTAAGAGAAATAAAATTCAGCTTCAATTAACATTTCTCATTATCGCTATTTTCTGTGGAAACAATTGTTTTCAGTTAGTACAGGCTAACATGTGATTCCTGGGAACAGAAATGGTTGACAAACTGTTGACAAGTAATCTTTCTTTTTAGCTGTGGCTGTAGAACATCATTTTATTATTTTACTGAATATTTAAATAATTATATGAGATTTTGTGTCTGTGATCATTAACATATGGTATTTTATTATTATATTATCAAGCAGCAGTCATATTTAATGTATACTATGAGGTACATGGTCTATGAATGAGATGTATTGTCTAGTGGTTAAAGTTAAAGACAAACAGCGAGGAACAGGGTCTTGCCTTCCAATCTAAGCTAAGCAGCACTTGCTTTGTGACTTTAAAATCATTTCCCTTCACTTCATTCAACCCAATATTAACACTGTACTCAAAAAAAAATCTCACTTCAGACCAGATGCAGCATTTGAATTGAGCTTTCCTTGGATAGTAAATTAAAAGCCACTGACAGGAATTGGAAAGGATTATCTCACATAAAGAAATATGGGTGTACAGAGAAGCACAGATCTGAGCACTCTGTATAGGCATTGATCCAAAAAAACTTCTATTCATTTCAGTGTATGCTGGATCCAAT